GAGCCGGGCCACTGTAGCCAGGGGGAAGCATCTGCTGCTGCCAGCCCCTCTCCCTACCCCAGCTTGGCACGCCGTCCCCTACAGCGCGCCCTCAGCCAGCCAGGAAACAAGCAGAGTCCCCCAGCCGGCTCCTGCTGCAGCACAGCCGGTCCGTACCGGGCGCACCGCCTCCCCTCCACCTGTGGGCAAAGGTGAAATAGACCAAAAAAGGCCCCTCGCCACGAGTAACGGCGCCTTCTTAAAATTGTGAATTAATTGCTCATTTTCACTGAAAACGTTGCCTGTTTGGGGCGTGACCGAAGAGCCAGACTTGGTTCCGTCCTGAGCCACGTTTGGCTCCAGAGCCGCAGGTTGCCGACCCCGGCTCTAGCCCCCTTTTGAAACATCCCTGCTTCCAGAGCACACACTGCAGCTGCTGTGGGGCGGGCACAGGACACCCCTGTTCTTGCTCGGGCTTGGTCACTTAGCCCGACAGCTACCAGGCAGGAGAGTGTCCCAGCGTGGCCCTTTGGCCACGTCTCTGCCCCCTCAGACCCCAACATCTGGTCTTCCCTTGCACGGCCCCTTGGGGCCAGTTCCCTGCCCCACGTCCCAGCCATCTCTCACTGGTGCTGAGCCCTTGCGCCGCAGCCAAGCCAGCTGGACTGTCTCCTGCTTTGTGCCTCAACAAAACCATCAGGTTCTACCTGCGGAATCTGGGCACGCGGAGAAGGGGAGAAGCAGAACCGGTGGGGGCCTTTTCTCAGGGGCAGGCTAGCAGTTACGAGAATCTTTCGTTTTGTGACAGGGGGGCGCTGGGCGTGTGGTGAGAACCCGCCCTGCTGCAAACACCAGCTCCCGTCTCTGGCTCTAATTGGATCCTCAAGGGGAGGTCAACTTGGTAAGACTTCCATCTGGATTTGATTTGCAGCGGCATTGGCGTGCTAATTAACTCCTGCGAGCCCCATAAACGAACCAGCTGCACGATAAAACTGCTCTGGTTTCCTGCTTCTCGTGCGCTGTCACCGCGACCACCAGTCTCCGCACTTTGTGCACGTCCCCTCTCCTGAGCAAACAGGAGAGGAATATTCTTATTGACAGGGAAACAGGATGATAAAGCCATAAAAGCTGGCAGGAGGGGAATCCGGAAGGACTTTGAGAGGTCTTTTTTTAGAATGGACTAGATTTCAAGCTAGGAGGGAATCTCTTTTATGGGGCCAACTTCTATTGGTGAGACAGACTGAAGCCCCCCCAAAGCCCTGCTTCAAGTTGGGGGTTTTGAAATGACAGCGGCACTTGAAAGCCTCCGGCACATCAGCTCTCTTCCCATCTTCAAACCGAGCCTTTTTGGTCTTTCTTCAGCAGAGAGAAGGCTCTGGCTGCCATCAGCCCTTCCTGAGGTGTGAAACTTTCCACCCAGCGACTCCACTTTTATACTTTCCCAATTAACAGCTTGGCGCATGCGATCGCGGTGAATGTGTCAGAAGAGCGGGGAAGATTCTAAAGATACAGCCGTGCCCGTCTCTGCCTAACCTCACAGACGTCCAGAGATTGCAGAGTGGCTTCCTTCCTCCCTGCGTCTCCAGCGGGGGATTAGCACGACCGCATTGCCAGAAAGTGCTTCTAAAAAAGAGGCCCGGTTTAGGGTCATCTGGTGCCGCCGCTCTGGGATTGAGAGCGTCAGATCCTGTTCCTGGCTCTGCCACTGACCGCCTGAGACACTGGGCAAGTCACTTCGTAGCGTGGGAGCATTTACAGCCAGCCTGGACCATTCGATCATTCAGTCAGACCTGGGGCAATAAGGTTGCTCAATTTCAGCCCTCTCTTGGACCCAAGTGTCACTTCCTGAAGGCCTCCAGGCTGGAGTGGAAGATGATGCAAGAGGAAAACCACCATGACCCCTGGCAGAGCGTTTCAGTGGTAAATCGTTCCCCTAGTGCCTTATTCTGACTGGGAATCGTGTTCCCTGTAAGCTGAGCGCTTGGACGGCCAACCAGGAGAGATTTAAATACCACCCCGCTGATTAGCAGAGCAACCACAGCCTGTGTGTCTAGTGGTGGTGCACAGTCACATGCCTTGGCGCATACAATTTATTCTGCACATGGATGGAAAATCGCTAGGAACACGTCTGGTTTCTGCTTCCAGATCTTGGTTCTCATTCTGATTTTCTCCACCAGGCAGGGGTCTTTTAGTGGCCAGTGTTTTCTCCCCAGGTAGATACTTAGTCACTAGAACCAAGGCTCTGCTGTTTTGTGATCAGCGAAACCTAGGGATGTAAGCGCCAGGTCGACTATCCGATAGGCATATGCTTATTGGATAGTCGATTAGTGACTCGACTAGTTGCTTCCCCGCCCCCTTGCTGCTTCTGTCATGCTTATTGGATAGTCGGGGAGCAGGAGCCAGTGCTGGGGGGAGCTAGCTTAAAAGTCGGTTCCCACCAGCACCATGTCTGGGGGGGGTGGGGCTGGGGCCCAGCAGGGAACTGGTGGTGCTTTCACCTTTGATATATAGCAAGAGCAGGGCTCTTGCTACATTTCAGAAGCGCCGTAGCAGGGGGCGAGCAAGTCGAGCAGTCCTCCACTGGCCCCATGCTCCCTGCTTTTGAAACGTACAAGAGCCCTAGAAGAGGTTCTTACACATTTCAAAAGCAAAGTGCACGCAGGGAGCACGGGGCCGGCGGGGGACTGCTCGAGCCCCCTGCTGGCTCCATGCTCCCTCAGCGCTTCCGCCTTTGAAAGGGCCCTTGCTACGTTTCCAAGGCGGAGGTGCCCTTATCGACTATTCGATTCATTGATTCATCTAAATGTAACACCCTTAGTGAAACCATGAGAGCTCTTTAGATTTCTCACCGTTAGGCATGATCTACAGCCCTGAAATTGTTTGGGGGGGCCCTTTCTGGCCCCCCTTGGCAATTTCCCAACAGCTTTTTTTTTTTTTTAAATCTGGACACCCAATCTGGATGCAATATTCCAGTATCCACCTCACCAGTGCCGCATGCATAGGCAACATGCCTTCCTCCTCCCACTTATACATCCAAGGATCAGCTCAGTCCATTTTGCCGCAGCGTGGTACTGAGAGCTGCTGGTGAGTTGGTTTTCCACACTGGCTTCTCCCTCCTTCTCCCCCTCCTTCCCCCCAAGCTTGTCCATTTACATTGCAAGTTCCTCGGTGCTGGGCCTGTCTCTCGCTCTGTGTCAATGCGGGCCCAGCCCGGCTCAGCCTTGATCTCCGTTTGGGGTTTCGCTACATGGCGAGCAGTACTAAACCCATTTGCGATAAATGTCCCTGGTTTACAAAACAGCACCTGCCGTGGCTGCAGAGCAGGTGTGAGGCAAGAGAGCCGGAGAGGGAAATCGATCAGACACGGACCAGAAGCAAGAGGGAAGCAGACAAGTCTACATCTGTGGCAAAGTGCAAAATGACAAGAGCAAAAAGGGGATTTCTGAGGGTCTAGGAGCCAGATGCAGCTGAGCGAGGCCAATCAGAGAATCCAGTGTTTGGAAGGCCTCAATTAGCCCACTGCTAGCATCATCATGCAAGCGCTCAATGCGATGCCGGCTGCTAAGACACGAGCTGTGCGGGGAGAAGGGGCTCTCTGGGCGTGTTTTGGATTGACGCACACGCTTAGTTGGGGTATGAGATTACAGGCTGGAGGTTCACAAAGGAGCGCAGTCGCAGGCCTGCCCCCAAGTGCTCTGCTCAGCAGAGCTCTGAGCCCCCCTAATGCCAGAAACACACAGCACATCCCAGCTGGCTCAGGGTCCATCCCATGAATAGAGCGAAAACCGATCCCCGCAGCACAATCACTCAGGTACCATGTACACGCTAGCGTTGAGCAGGGCTAGCATCTTAACCCTCAGCCTACATTTTCCTGGCTGGTTAGAACAAGAGTGGGCCAAAAATGGGGAAGGAACAGCTTTCCTTTGGGAAAAACACCAGCGTTTCCTAATGGTCTCGGAGGGACATACGGATTTCAACTAGGGATGTCAATGTGTAACGACTACACGATTAACTGATAAGCCTGGGCACATCCTGTCCACTAGATGCATTTCTCCCCTCCCCCTTGGTGCCTCTGTATCAGAGGCAGTAAGCGAGGGGAAGCAGGAGCTGGTGTCCGCGAGGAGCCTGCTTTAAGCTGGCTCCCCACAAGCTCCGGATCCCGCCTGCCTTCCCCCACCCTCCTGAGGCAGCAGCACCGAGAACGAGGGGAGCGTTTTTTAAGCCAGCTCCATGGACCTGCCTTCCCCTCTCCACAGGGGGGAGGTAGGAGTAGGTGCCACTTCCTCCCCGCACCTCCGCCATACACTGCTGCCTCTATCAGGACCCCCCACGGACAGGGGCTGCTGCCACCTCACGCTGCTGCCTCTGTATCAGAGGCAGCAGAGCCACACAGCAGGCAGGAGCCAGTTTGCACAGTGAGCCAGTTTTTACCTGCTGCCAGCCCACTGTGCTGCCCCGCTCTCTGAGGCAGCAGCGTGGGGAGTCAGGGGGCTCCCTGGGACGGGGCTGCTATCTAACATCCCTAATTTTGACCACGGTTTTTTGATGCGGAAAAAGGGAGCGGGTTCTTTTGGACGGTACTTTGCCTAATTCTGGTTGGAAGTTTTCTGGTGCCTAAACTCTTTAATCTATCTCAGAGTAGGATACTGAAATGTTTTACTATAACAGACCAAGCCAGCACACTTCCCCCCTAGCAAGAGATTTTCATGGGCCCAAATGATATTTTGGGGGGGGGGGGGGGGGATTTCATTTCTGTGGAATTTGGGCTTTTCCTTCCCAACCAGATTGATTTGTTTCAAAAAGTCAGAATCGACCATGGAACAGCAACTCCAGCTCCCAACCAGCTCTTGTGAACACCCTCAATTTCTCTCCTCCTTTGCCTGTACTCAACCAAGCCGGAGTCGCTTAAGGGAGAGCCTCCGCCAGGCAGAAGTGGGGCCTGGCCGACGGGCCGGATCAGCGGATACAGGGCAGTGCTCTGTTCAACTCTGACAGGTCTGGCCCAGCCACCGTGCAAGGAGCAGACACTGGGCAAGACGGACCGTTGGCCTCGCTCCCCCAAGGGAAGAGGCAGCCCGGCGCAGGGAAAGTTCTCTCAGGAACGTGCACCAACCACATTTGCCTTTGGTGCCACCTTGGCTCCCCTCAGCTGCGAGAATATTCAACTCTTTAGCCCAGGGTGGAGAACTCTCTTCAGCCAGAGGCCCCGGACCCACAGGAAAATCAGCCAGGAGCCACACAAACAAAACCCAAACCCCTCGCTCCTCCCAAGGGGAGAAGAACCCTGCCCCTGCCACCACTCAAACTTAACTCAGCACGCACCTCTGAGGAAACGAGGCTCAGGGCCTCCCCCTCAGCGGAGAAGCAGGCGCTCACACTCCAGCCCCACCTTGGGAGGGGACGGGGGGCTCGTGCATTTGTGGGCTCTGCCCCAACTCTTACGCTCACCAGAGGGTCCAATGAGACCGTGGTAGGGACTGAAGCCATCACCCGCTCGGCTCGCCCGGGCAGCCGGCCGGCTGAGGAACGCTTGCAGAGCCGCACCTGACAGCCAAACATGGGCACCGCTTTGAGCTGCCTTGGCCAAGCAGCACGGAGGACGCCGGCGGGCCCCCGGCTGCCAG